TATACTCTTATATTCACTGGTGGCTCAACCATTGATTATCCTCTTATATTCACTGGTGGCTCAACCATTGATTATACTCTTATATTCACTGGTGGTTCAACCATTGATTATACTCTTATATTCACTGGTRGCTCAACCATTGATTATCTTCTTATATTCACTGGTCGCTTGAACAATCACAGCATGCAAAACTCTATATTCTATTAAAATTAATATTATACAGCTAATGATAAATATTGCAGGGTTACCTTAGGTTTTGGGGGCTAGAACCCAAGCACAAGTTAGTATTTTTAATAGCTATATTAATGTATATATTTTGAAATTTTAGTTATACGCTCAATTGAAGAATCGTTGTCGGGTTCAGAAACATAGAACATAAAAGCTGACACCGAAATGGCACATGGGAAATGACATATAGTTATATTTTAATTTATTCGTTTGCGCCATCCATGCAGTCGGTTTATATCTAGAATGCCAAACGCGTATTAAAAACAGTGGATGATGCCACGGGTCGCCGGTAACAGCATACATCTAATTAACGTACTTCCCATGTGCCATTTCGGTCTCAGCTTCTATGTTCTATGTTTCTGAACCCGACAAYGATTTTTCAATTGAGCGTATACTACTATTGGGTACTCAACAGATGTGATTTTAATGAACTTTTGAAAACTATGAATGAATTGATATTTCTAGTAATGTTAAAGGGATTTCTTCCCATAATTGTGGAGCAGTATATGTAAAAGAAAACTGACCATAATTGGTCCGAGTATATGGTGTGTAATAATTGCTTTTTGAAGCATGTCTAGTATTGTAGGAATGCACAGCAGAGATTGGTTTTAGGACTGACCAGAAGACCCTTGTGACTTCCAATTTATTATGAATAATTTGATATACAAAACAACCCATTTTGAACCTTGAATTCTAATTATTATTGGTCGTTAATGTGTATTTTCAGGTACGATGGATGATGTATTGGATAGTGTTTGCTCTTTTTACGACAGCTGAGCTCTTTGCAGATCTGCTTCTAGGGGTTTGGTAAGACGATAATTAGTATAGGAAATCGCATGATCTCGAGTACAATTTGGAAATTAATAGACACGAGTAATGTTTTGAAAGTTMTTGTAATTGCACGAGCCTTTAGGCGAGTGCAATTARAGAACTTTCAAAACATTACAAGTGTCTATTAATTCCAAATTGTAYGAGAAGATTGTGTGATTTTTTGTTTATAGTTCACTCAACAAAATTTCAGTAAAAAATGCGAAGCGACGCCGTTCATCTTTGTGGCTATTTGACGGCCGATTTTCAGTCCATCGCGCAACTGAAATGCATAAAAAACATTAGTTCTTACAGCTTTAAAATTTTATTTATATGTTTTTTCAGAGTCAGAGTAATTTTGTTGAGTGTACTATAATATTATTAATAGTATTTTCAAATAGTTACATAATAAATCAACTTTTTCTAAGCATATTTTTTGTAAACACATGAATATACTTTTGGTTAAAATTATAAAAAAAATTTTTTTTAGGTTCCCATTTTATTATGAGATCAAGATTGTATTTATGATTTGGTTGCTTTCGCCAACCACAAAAGTGAGTCAAAAATAACTTTATTAATGATATCCATCACATCATCATGCATCATCATGCATCATCACATCATCATCATCATCATCATCATCAATCATCACCATCATGCATCATTACCATCATGCATCATTACCATCATCATCCTTTATCATAATTGTGATTGACATGTGATTAATATCATCATCATCATTTATCATCACCATCATTTATCATAATTTTGATGGACATGTGATCAATATCACCATCATCATCATTTATCATCATTATTTTTTATTATAATTGTGATTGACATGTGATCAATATCACTACCATCATCATTTTTGTTCAATATATTTTAGTCCAGACAAGTTCAGTTTGTTTAATATCACTCTACAAAAAWTTTTTTAGGGTTCAACGATATTATACAGGAAGTTTGTTCATCCATTGCTCTCAAAGCATGAAAATGTAAGTACAGTACATCAAATTACTGTAAATTCCAATTCAATAATTGAGTTAGCTGTGCCCTGACGTAGATCAGCCCAGAGGTTGTTTCAGGGTTCTATCTGTGAGTTAGCCATGCCCTGACTTAGATCAGCCCAGAGGTTGTTTCAAGGTTTGATCTG